GGCTGTCCTAATTTACATTCCCACCAGCAGTATACTAGTGTATTAACCAGAATTTTTGTTTCCGGAATCTGAGAGGAAGACAAGATGCAATTGTGAATTCATAATATTTGCTTAATTTTGTCTCCCATTTGTCTAAGAAGACTTTATAAAATACAAAATAGAATCTCAAACACCCATTTTTCCCCCTATTTCTAGAGATATTAGATACTCTTTATAGAAATAACAGACCCTCTTTCTTTTTGTCAAACATACAGATGGTTCGATATTCCAAAAATAAGGATGCCTCTCTCTTTCCTTCCTTCCTCTCCCTTTTTAAAAAAATTTTTTTAAATTTTTGAGTTGGAGTCCCACTCTGTCGCCCAGACTGGAGTGCAGTAGCCACTCCCAGCCACCGCAGCCTCGACCTGCTGGGCTCTGGCGATCCTTCCACCTCAGCCTCCCAAGTAGTTGGAACTACAGGCGCGTGCTACCATGCCCGGCTAATTTTTTGATTTATTGTAGAGATGAGGTCTCGCCAAGTTGCCCAGGGGGGTTTCGAACCCGTGGCTCAGGCAATCCACTCACCTCAGCCTCCCAAAGCGTGGGATTACAGGCTGAGCCACCAAGCCTGGCTCTTTTCCTTCTTTTCTGCTTGCCTGCCGGCCTTTTTCCCTCTTTTTCCTGCTTCCTTCTTTTCCTCCCTTCCTCTCTATGCCAGAGCTTTTTTCTATTGTAAAGTACTTTTGGAAATAGAGAGTGCTTTGGGTTTTAGCTCTGTTTAAGAGAAAACAGTGTTCTTTTGTTGCTGGTGGGAACATGAGACCAATTTTTTTCACTTTCCTGCCAATGTTCAACCTAACCTTAATTTAAAAATAATCATTTTCTTATAATGACTCATCACACAGTCATTTTGCGTAGAAAAGGGAAAGGAATAACTGAATGATGGAGAGGGAAGCAGAGTTGCATGAACTTATTTTTATTCTATCATTGATTTATATTAGGGAGACCTAAATACTTTTATTTTTGTCAGTCCTTGGATAAAACGATGAACTTTGTCATTGACAATAGACCTGTCTCTTCCTCATGCTTTGAGTTTCCAATGTGAATGAAATAGTGCCCCCGCCCCAGACCTTATTCAGAGTTTTGGCTCTTCTGAGCTTTCGAATCATGACTCCTCTGAAATATGTCTCCATTACTAACCCCTGTTTCAATTTGTATGAGATCTTCTGATCCTTTATTTTTCCCATCTTTGAATTTTTTAAAAAATGAAATGTGTTTTATTGCTTCATTTGTCTATTTTAAAATATATAGCTTTACTGAGGTATATTTGACAAATGAAATTAGGATTTAAGATGTACAATGTGGCCGGGCTCGGTGGCTCAGCCTTGTAATCCCGCACTTTGGGAGACCGAGGTGAGTGAATTGCCTGAGCCTGTGGGTTCTAGACCTGCCTGGGCTACTTGGCGAGACCTCATCTCTACAATAAAAAAAAAAAATCAGCCGGGTGTGGTAGCGTGTGCCTGTAATTCTGGCTACTCAGAAGGCTGAGGCGGAAGGATGGCCGGAGCCCAGCAGGTTGAGGCTGCGGTGGCCGGGAGCGGCCACTGCAATCCAGTCTGGGCGACAGAGTGAGACTGACACACACAAAAAAAAAAAAAAAGATGTACAGTGTGACATGATGATTTGATATATACACATTTTGTAAACTGATGACCACAATCAAGTGAGTTAATACATCTGTGACCCTTATCATCATATCATTTAGTATCCTCTCTTTTCTTTTTTTTTTGTCTTGTGGTAAGAACATTTAAGTAAATTGCAAGTATACTATTCAATACTAGTAACTATAATCACCAAAATGCTACATGTTCTTTATAAAATTTGTTAAAAATTTATCAGAATAATAAATACTAAAAAACTGAAGATTATTCTGTATTCTATCATCTACAGATATCTACTGTTGATTTGGTAAATAACTTTTCCAGATTTTTTCTTTCTATCTAATCATCCATCTATCTCTCTGTAACTTGCCATATTGGTGAGTAATACTTCACAAACATTCTTTCTTGTAATAAATACTTGACTGCATTCTCATTTTAAATGGCTGCAAATAAACCATTAAGAGCCTTCCTCTAGAGGTCTAGGTTGTCTTAAAATTTTTGCCATTGTATATTATGTGTTGATAATATTTGCATAGATTCTTAGATTCTAAAATAAGCTAATGATTATATCAAGATCTCAAGCAATGGAAACTGTAACTATAACTCTCATTACTGTATATGAAAACAACTTCCAATTGCAAATTGAATAAGAATTCCATATTTTGTTTCATCTCCTGAGAAATATCATTACACATTTTTCATATTTGTTTAGGAGACTATACGTTTACTAAAATAAAGCTTCTAGATAATAACTGCAAGTGTCAGGAAGGAAGTAGCTTATTTGTTATTTTAACACTTAGCATAAGGTTTTGGAAAGCACGTATAGTTGAAATCTCCTGTGTAGTAGAACTTTAGTCATTCCAGCAGAGTAAAGGAGGAGGGTCTTACAGCATAGCCATTGACTTGTACCTTAGATTTTCTAACTGAAGATCCAGTTCACTTATTCATTCAACAGCAATGTGTTAATATCTACATGGGTGAGGCATGTAGCTGCATACTAGCTACACAGAGATGAATAACTCTTGTTCTGAGGTTTTCACGGTCCACAAGGTGGGGCAGGTGGTTAGTGATTGCTGCTTGGAAAATCAGACTCATTCAGGAAGAATGAGAAATTCTGTTGACTTTGGTCTTAATCGGTGTGCATCCTAGTCTGGGAACTCTTGCGTGCTCATTACTTAGGGTGTTTTGCTCAAGCCCCAAAACATATCTTGGAAACCTGCACCTCTAAGGTAGATTGAAAGTCACTCTTTGATAAGCTAATTGGAAAGTGAAGAGGAAAACCAAAATGAAAGTGTTGGCTAAGGCTAGTCCTGAGAGTAAAGACTAAGATCTTAGCCAATTTCTTCATTCCTGGCCCCTTCTTCAGTGTGATCTACACTGGCAGGTGGAGGTAGGACACAGTTGCCAGATCCAGCTAAGCTAAAGGTAAGACAGCTAAAGGGAGGAGTCAAATTCAGCAATCTGATTGCATGCTGTGATGACTTCAGAGTTTGGTTAGAAGACATTTTAATACAATGATTAGAGTCCTACAATACACAGGGACTGACAATTAAGTTTGTGAACTCATCCTAGCAAAAGTCCTCCCTACCTCATTGCTGAATATCACTATGGTCACCTTCGAAGTACTCCCCTTGGGAAGCTAGGCACCAATGTCAGCGCCTAGTCCATCCGTCAAAGCAATTTTGGAACTCTTTCTGGAATGGCCTGCAGAGCTGTCATCATATTACCCTTGATATCCTGAATGTCATCAAAATGTCTTCCTTTCAGATGAGTAGGGAGGGTGTTCCACTGTTATGTTGTACAATGCTGTCAACGTCAGTACACGGTGGCAAGTTGGTGAACTTAATTTTTAGTCCTTAATAATGATGGCTCTGATAGCCATTTCAGAAAAGAGTTCTAGAATTGTTTTGACAGGCGGACTAGGTGCTGGGCGTTGGTACATAGCTTCCCAAGGGGTGTACCTCAAAGGTGACTATAGTGATGTTCAGAAACGAGGTATGTAGCACATTTTCTAGGATGGTTTGCGAACCTCATTCATTGTCAGACCTCGTATGTCCACTTTTATTGACACATACAAAGAACAAGAGAAGAATCCTTATTGTCCAGGGGTTTGAACCAAGTTTCTCAAACTTTACTGTGCATAAAAGTCACCTGAAAGCCAGGCGCGATGGCTCACACCTGTAATCCCAGTACTTTGGGAGGTGGAAGTGAGAGGATTGCCTGAGCTCAGGGGTTCGAGACTCGCCTGGGCATTTTGGTGAGACTGATATAGAGGCCCTCTAATGTCTGTCCATATTGTCACAGCCCCTAGAGGAGGGCATGGCCAGGGCGCAAGTGCTCCTGTACATTCTTGAACAATATTCCTGAAAGCTAATAAAAAGTGTGCTTCCCCTTATCTCCTATGCACTCCCAGGGAGTAGCTTCAGGTGATCCTTGACTTCCCTGGAGTCTATGCCCCATCAACTGAAAGATACAAATCTCCTTTTACTCCTTTCTCTGAGTGGTTATAAGTTTGAATAATATAGCATCAATGTAATCGTAAGCCTTGTGAATTGCATAACTTTTGTATCAATGTAATAGTAAGCTTTGTGATTTGTATAACCTTTGCACAATGCATGATGTCTTAGGCCCTTTTTACTCTATGACAAGCTTGATTGCCGCTTCTGCCAGATCGGGTCCTACTGATAAAAGCCATGAGATACCTCTGATACGGCACCAGGAAGTCTGGACAGAAAAATGTCACTATTGATAAATGCGGTTAAAACTCAAGTTCTATACAATGCTCTGCTGGTCACCTGGCTAATGTATAGGTACTAACAATTCTGGACTTATACAAATGAACCGTAAAAACCTAGAGGGTGAGCAGAACCATTTTGAAAGACCTTGAGTCTGACTCTACTCCCTAGATTCGAACTCAGAAATAAACTTCTTTCTACCAGTTCCCTGCCCTTTTGACTTGTTGGTATCAAGGGGAGCAGCCAAGCATTACTCGGGCCATTACAAGAAAAAAAAAAAAAAAATTAAGCAGGGTGTGGTGGTGCATGCCTGTGATTCCAGCTACTTGGAAGGCTAAGGCGGAAGGATGGCCTGCGCCCAGCAGGTTGAGGCTGCGGTGGCCAGGAGTTTGAGACTCCCACCTCCCTCTTCCCCCAAGAAAAAAGTCACCTGGAAAGCTTTTTGAGATGCAGATTTGTATTCATTAGGTCTGGGGCTGGTCCTGAGAGTCTGCATTTCTAAAACATTCCTAGATAAAGCCAACATGTCTGGCTCATAGATTATTGCATTTTGAGTAACAAGGGCCTAAGCTATCTTTGTGCCAACGAGGATTCACCTTTTGTAACTGCATCTATTTGTTTGCAGCTGTCGTGATGGTTCTAAATAGCATGAGTGTCAGCTGGAGTGCCCGGATCCAGATTTTCCTAACCTTTTGCAAGCTCACAGCAATTCTGATAATTATAGTCCCTGGAGTTATGCAGCTAATTAAAGGTATGGTCTGAAAAGTAAATGCTTTTTTAAATACGTATCTGCCGTTGGTCTCTTTTCACACTAACTTTTGCTTGTACTAGCAGAATCCTTAATTAGTCTCTGCTCATGGAACTTCAACTCTATACTGTCATCTAATTGATTTGAAAGCCTGCTGCCTTGTGGGTGAGTGGGTATTTGCAGTTGAATGGTAGCAAGAGGGTTAAGACTGGGCCACGCAACAAAATAAGGCATCAGTGAATTCTCTTGGTATAAACCGTTGACAGTGAAAACTTGAAGTGGAAAAATACCTGCCGCTTCGCTTTAACTACAGAAAAAAAATGTCCTTTTATTTTTACTTTGAAAATTGTCCAGTAAGAGTAATAAAGATTACAAAGAAAATAAGGAATGAGGATCAATAATACTTTTACTCTCTGGTTATTATTTCTTTTACCTTGAGAGTGATATCCTCAGAAGAGGAATTTGATAGGGAGACAGCATTCCTAAAAAAACCCCAAAATACAAGTGTGCATTTTTGCAGTAACGCAACATTTTCTAGGATTATTTGCTTTACAGAGTTTTTTTTTTTTCCCCCCTTAAGAAGCTGATAGATGATATCACTTAGAATTTCAGTTGTTTCAGGGAAGAACGCACAGCAGTTGCCTGGATTCAGTGGAAATTGTTGGGAGAGAAAGAGGTCCATGTGAGATATTTAATTAGCAACAGGCACTATAGTAGGAAATAAAAGGTGAGAAGTAATTGTAAAGGAGTGACAGGCAGCTTGGGCACGCTAAGTATCTAATGTTTACATTCATGCTGTCTGTTCCAAGAAAGGAAATTTATGGAGAAATGTAATGACGTTGCAGGAGAAGAATTATACAAGGCAAAAGGAAATGCCAAAGTTCAGCAAAAATCATCGGTGTTGGTAGAGGCATTAAACAATAACACACGCTGAAAGATCAGTCGCTCTGCAGCTGGAAAAGGGAGCTGCCGTTGCCCATTTAACAAGCCTGGTGGGAGATCTCAGAGCCCTGCTGGCGAAAATGCTTTCATCAAATCCAGCAACCTCAGCCAACTCAGAATAAACACAATGAAGGTTTTGAACACTACTGCTTGCACTGAAGAGAAGCCATGAGTTGCTCTTCGCATTCACCTTGGCCTCCGCAGAGCTGGCCTGCTTATATTCTATCTTATTCGTAAGGAATGTAGACAAGATCATCTATTTTGCTAGTGCGTTCTTTTTCTGGGCTAACTCTTTAAGTCTCCTGTAAGGAGTTTCTTCAGTATTTGAAAGGCACAGAATTTGAGTCACTGGCTCTTCTGTAATCCTAGTTTAGATTCCAAAAGATGATATGCTACCCCTTGAAACGAAGATTGATTTTTTTTTTTCTTTTTCTTTTTGGTGTAATGCAAGACACTATAGGTAGCATTATAGACTATAGTCAGTTTTTACCACCTAATTATACATGTGTATGAGGCCGGATGTAGTTATCGTTCTACAGATTCCTTAAGAACAGAGGTCATGATATATCTCTTAAATTTTTTTTTTTGGCAGTTACAATAGAGGGAGGCTTTGACTAATGATTATGGTATCAATGCTTAACTCGACTAGGCCACTTCATAGATCGCACCCAACAGAGAATTTCTCTGAGAATATTACCACACTTAGTGGAAGTTGTTTTTGTTTTTGTTTTTTTGTTTTTTTGAGTTGGAGTCTCACTCTGTGGCCTATACTGGAGTGCAGTGGCCACTCCCAGCCACCGCAGCCTCGACCTGCTGGACTCCGGCGATCCTTCTGCCTCAGCCTTCCAAGTAGCTGGAACTGCAGGCATGCGCTACCACACCCGGTTGATTTTTTTTGATTTATTGTAGAGATGAGGTCTCGCTGCCCAGGCAGGTCTCGAACCCGCGGGCTCAGGCAATCCACTCACCTCAGCCTCCCAAAGGCGCGGGATTACAGGCTGAGCCACCGAGCCCAGCTTAGTGGAAGTTTTAATATTTTACAGATGGTTCTTAGCAGATATATTTGCTCTATTACTATAAAATTGGGATTTTTCTTTTGCTCTAACATGATCACATATTTTTCACATTAATCCCAAACTCTAGGAATAAAAGAAAGACTTTCTAATACAGATTGGGCATTTATTTCTACTCTAATCAGATCCTGAAAGTAGTAGTATGTTATGTATTCACTTATGAGGATTTGTTGCACTTTCCTTGGAATATTATGGCTTTCATCTTCCTGAGACCTCTGTTACGGACCCAAAATATTCCTGAAGTTTAGAAATGAAATGCCTCTCTTTTGCAAAAATGGCCTTTTTGAAGATCTGTGCTTATGGCTCCATCTTTACAGAACTCGATTTTTCTTATTGATTATTTGGTTTTCTACTCTTTAGAAATATTGTCCTTTTATGCCAAAGAGACCACAGACCATGATAAAAGAATATTCAACAAATGTTTTTATCTGAATTCATTTCTTCTGTAAGAACACAAAGCTGTTTTAGTAAAACAGGCATTTCTGAATTCACCATATCATTTAAAAAATGAACTATGTTTAGGAATTGTTTACTTGGAGGGAAAAATTATTTAGTATATAACTCAATGTTTTCCATTTTTGGTCTTTGTACTCACACATGTTATATCCATATACGAGCAGGGATCCCCCCCTCCAAAACTGAAATTATCTTTTGGAGGCTGGGCCTCTTGTAATACAAGCTTCTTCCCTAGGTAAGAATTTTAGGAACCTATCACCATCAGCGTACCAGCTGGTGGTGTTATGAGAGGCTGTGTTTGACTTCAGTGAAATTATTTTTGGAGAATCTTTCAACATGCTTGCCCATTTCATGATTTACGAGCACACCTGTCCACACCCTGCTGAATGCCCAGCAGTTTTTGTTTTTGTTTTTTGTTTTTGTTGAGTCGGAGTCTCACTCTTGTCACCCAGACCGGAGGGCAGTGGCATGCTCATGGCCACCACAGCCTTGACCTGCTGGACTCAGGTGGTCCTTCCCCCTTAGCCTTCCAAGTAGTTGGAACTACAGGCATGTGCCACCACACCTGGCTAATTTTTCTTGACTTATTGTAGAGATGAGGTCTCGCCAAGTTGCCCAGGCTGGTCTCGAACCCGCGGGCTCAGGCAATCCCCTCACCTTGGCCTCCCAAAGTACTGGGATTATAGGTGTAGGTGTGAGCCACCACACCCAGCATGCCACTGCCCTCAGCAGTTTTTGACCAAAAACAGCTTGACCCCTGTGATACACCCTTCCTACTCACCCAATCTCACCATGAGCAATTTTTTTGTTTGTTTGTTTCCCCAATGAAAACAGTCCTTAAAGGGAAATGTTTTGCCAATGTGGAAGAGGTGAAACCAACAAACAAAAATGGCAGAAGCATTAAAAGGCATCAGAATTGATGACTTTAAAAACTTCTGAGCAGTGGAAAAAGCATCTAAATAGGTGTATTGCATCAAACAGAGAGTATTTTGAAGGAGACTGAAGTTTGAACATGTAAGAATAAATACACAATTTTTAATAAATAAATTCCATTGTGGGGGTTCCTCCCTCATATATGTCATACCTGGGTGGTGCAGGCAACCACTGAGATTTGACTTTGAAAAAAGTGTCTACATCTTCTACTTCTTGTCTCCATTTTATTTATTTACATAAAGATTGATTTTAAAGCAAAGTTGCATTTTCCATTTGTGTACTCTAATTTGCTATCTTCTTCAGAAAATAGAAATATTCTTTCTGCTTAAGCATAAATATTGACTGATTACAGTAAATCTGAGTTTCTAACTTTTTAAACTATCCAAAAGATATATAGGAAAAAGTTCCATTGTTATTCACAGAATAGAGGAAATTATGGTATTCAATCCACATACTGATGCAAAATTTATCAAAACCTATTTATTTTAGAGTTTATTATAATGTTTTTCAATTTCTAGAAGGAAACCATGCCATTCTGTAGGACAGGGTCACAGGATCAGTGGATGTTTGCCGTAAAGGACTAGACAATAAATATTTTCAACTTTGCAGGTTGCATGGTCTCTGTTATAATTACTCATCTCTGCTATGATAGGGTGAAATCACCCATAGACATTCCTTAAGTAATTGTGGGCATGGCTGTGCTTCAATAAAACTTTATTTACACAAGAGGCTTGCAGGTTGTGTTGGCAGTTTTCCAACGCTTGTTCTGGGAAATAGGTGTCTAATAAGCTACAGGGTGTAGAAAACAGAAAGTTAAATAAAGTGGGAAGGTGGTTCTGGGATTTCTTGCCACCTCGTCATAAAGGTAGACCCTTGGATACTTCTTTGCTCTTTTTTGCCAAGAAATATATTATCTTGACTTTTAAGAATTCTATCACATTCCTAAAGACTATAATTTACAGAAAATCCTTCAATCTATTTTCATGGTCACAGTAGAGGCACACTGAAACAAGGGATCATTTTTTAAAAACGCTATTTTCATCTTTGCTATAACCTTTTGAATAGGATTTTCAAAAATCCTAAAATTTTTCTTTTCTAATTACAGGTCAAACACAGCACTTTAAAGATGCCTTTTCAGGAAGAGATGCTAGTCTTATGGGGTTGCCCCTGGCCTTTTACTATGGAATGTATGCCTATGCTGGTTGGTAAGTTGATATCTTCAGGTCTGGTGGTTCTTTGGTTCACTAATCCTTTCAAGTACTTTAAGTGCCAAGCAAGGTGCTAGGAAAATGTGAGTAACCATAGTCCAATGTGATATGCTTTACTTGAAATGAGAAATATGGTGTGGCCCCCTCTACAAGGACAATTATTTAGCACATGACTTAACACAAACATAACAGGTCTCCAGTCAAAGTGACGACTAGGTTTAGCCTGATGTTATAAAAAACAAACAAGTGCTGGGTCCTAGGAGCCAGTACACATTACTTATATGTATATATCAATAAGGAAATAATAGTGCCATAAGTTACTAAAGAATAGCACTTTGGTTGTCAAAAGACCTTTCGGCTAAAGCTGCAAGAGAGTTTGCAAATAGTGATTGATTATGTTTCACCTTACCATGAGAAAGAGAAATAGCTCAGATATAGAAATAAGTAAGACGTTCTCAGGAAGTAAAATGGTCAAAAGGAGAAGCCAAGATAATGAAATCAACTGTACTAAGAAAATATGTCACATTTTGAAGAACCTTGCAAGTTCCTCAAAATTTCCTTAACATCTGAAAACAAAAATATGCAGCCAAGTTGATTAAAATCATGATGCCACAGAAACATTTCCTTTGATAAATATTCATCAATGATACCTACTATTTGGTTAAGGCATTAGAACTTTGTACTTATTCTTTCCTTTGTCCAAGTACTTGAAAAACAATAATCATGGATAAGAAATGGGACTTTTTCCTAAATAAATGTTATGGACCTAGTAAGATTTAGTTGAAATGATAGTTGCAAGAAATCCTGCTAGATATCGAAGTATTATTTAAACATCAAAATCATTATTGTAAGATTAAATGTTGTTGTTTAGGAGTAATTCATGGCAATATTTCTTTTTATGTTATTTATAAAAACTAGTAGCTATATAGGTTTAGCTGTGAGACTATTCTGTGAACATAAATATCATATCAGGAAACTAACGCTAGCTCAAGAATTATGTAAATGAATTTCCAACACAGATGTAATTTCCTTTTGCTTCTTTAGTTTTTAGGATCCATACCTTCCAGCTAATGCACGGAATATTTCCAAATAAATCGAGTGTCTACTAATCTCATTGAATTATGAAAATACAGCATTAGAGAAACACTGGGAGAATACAAGAACTTCACATCTTAACAGGGTTTTTGAAGCAAAATATGTTTGAAGATTGTTAGAAGCTTGTAACTCTAAGGAGATCGGTGTAAAATAGTTGTATATTCCCAGAACATTTTTAAAGCCATTGTGTGTGAGTAAGCATTCGTTTTGAATCACTCGGTATTTTTGAAGTCTTTTTTACTTTTGTCCAAAGAGCAATGTAGTGCTAGGCAGAGAAAGAACTGAGCGTGACCACAGGGTTAGAAGCAGAATCAGCTGTTCTGTGGCTACTCGGCCTGAATGAGAGCTTGGTGCCCTGGGGCTGCAGCCAAGCTACTGGGAGGGTCATCACTGGGAGATGCCAGAGTGAAGCGGGGAGGTGGCAGAAGCTTTCAGCGCCAGCCAAGTGTTGGGAGTCCAGGCCATATGCAGTCAGGAATGTGGAATGTAGAGATAGTCACAAGGGGGATTTGATTAATTCTGTTGAATGAAGTTGCCCTTGCCCTGAGTACCCTGCATCTGTTCCCAGGAAAACTTAAAGTTGTTTTTGTTTTTTTACCCTCCTCACTTGTCCTCTACCCAGAACTGAAAATTCAGATCACCTTCTTTATATAGAGCATATTTTCTCCATTTCTGTAAGCTTTTGAGGGCTGATGAATTTCTCCATGTGTAAGGCCTCTTTTCGTCTGAATTAATTTGAGAGGGTGCCAAAAAAATGTATAAACATTTAAAGAAAAGAAAAAGCCATATTCAAATGGTAATACTTGATAAGATGAATGCAAGTCACTTTTGACTTCTGCAATTGCAAGAGGTGGTCAGAGTGGTTACCATCAGCTTCCAGACGCTTCTGATTACGGCAAGTATCTCTTAATATCTTCTAAAATGTGTATACTTTCTTTTGACACCCCGGTATTTATTTTTATTCATGCTGAACCCAAATGTTGCTCTGTTTACAGAGTAAAAGGGGTTTATATAAACTGTTTTTTCCCCGTACCTTTACCCATATAATCCACATGTCTACTCCCTATTTTAAAGACCAGAAACTGCTGATTTCCTTATATCCTTCAGGGTTCAATCACAGTATTGGAAAATAAGTCCAGGATTTTAAATGGAATGTTATCTGATACAAGTGGCTTATGTGGGGGACAGATAAGTAACCGTGTTCCTATTACAGGTTGCTTTGCTACCTGAATGCTGCTTTGTGAAGAGTTAGAAATAATCTGACTGTTAATCTATGGTCATTAGTCTTAGAAAAAGGAAGCTGTGGTTATAAAAAATAGTCTGTTGGTCGGGAGTTCCAGAGGAAAAGTTATTACCCAGATGTAAATGGAATAAGATGGAGGTTAAAAGAGTTCCCGAAGATAGGGGCATTTGTTCACTTTCCAAATGTGATCCCTGCCTTTTTGTCCTCTCTGTGTCTTTCGTGGTAGAATTATCAGTGGGGAGGTGAAAATAAGCCACCACTCCTTATTTGTTGCTGTGACAATGTTTGACCAAAAAGAAAGGGTGGGGAGCATTGCAATTAAGACAGAAGCAAAGCAGCTGTTGTGGTTAGAACTTTCCACCTGGCCCATTAGCCTGTAAGTAAAAGCAGCAAGACCAGTGTTGTCCTGGAGACCCTGCCCTGCAAGCGTAGAAAAAAGACACCACCAGACCTTGGGGAATCTGAACAGAGCAGGCTTTTGTCTCTGAGGAGCACAGAACCTTTCTAGAATGATAAAACTCCTTCACAGAAACACGATTAGGAGAAAAGAAATAATTAACCCAGCCAGGTCACAGAGTTGGGTCAGAACAACTTGAATATCATTGCCAATGTCGACATTCAGAGAAGTACATCTGCCAGCCTACCTTGTGGCCCTGGGGAACTCAACCAATTTCAGTCCCATATGCTGATCCAAAGCTAAATATTGCTTGGTAGGATTTTTTTTTTTTAATTGTGTGACAGAAAATCGTTTTTCTGTGTCTTTTTTCTTCCTTTTAAATCCTATCCTCAATGGACTTAGTCTTTCTAAAGCACCTGCTGGGATTATTTTGTACCATTGTGTCAAATCTCATCTAAAGAATACACTTCTTTTAAAAATAATTCACATAGTTGAGTATTGAAAATGCATTGCCAGCATTGCTGTGTCTTTTATGCACAATCATGGAAAAGCAGGAACAATAGATCTTGTGAGCATTCTCCAGAGGCCTTGAAGAGTTTTAAACCAAAGAGAATACCATGGATTCATTCCTGAAGACTAGAGGAGCATAAAGGTGGATTCCCGCAGGATGTGAATGTTTGGACTAAAATAAAGAAGGTTTTCTCCTTCCTACTCCCACCCCGCTCCAAGTCCCTTCCTTTTCTCTATTCTCTGGAGCAATGGCAAATATTTGAAATTGAGTTCTTTTTTCATAAATATTTCCTTTCTTGCTTCGGCATCATTGGGAAAGATCACTTTCTAAAACAAATGCTAAGAAGGAACTGGCTATTTTTGACATGAGAAGCCTAGAAATATCTTAGTGTGTGTGATGATTTTTTGTGTGTTTGTTTTGGGGGTGTGTGTATGTGGGTGGGGGGAGATTCCCTTATTTCCTCAGGCTTATAACAAACACATCAAATCCCTTTGGGATGGCATATGTCAGGTTTAAGTAGTGATTGTTGCTGACTTTCCTGGTATAACTACAGTCTCTAGAAACTTAGTTTCTAGTCATTTAAAAGAAATCTTTGGCCACTGACTTTTTAGACCAACTTTACTGTGACTGTTCTCTCAGATTTTCAATTGTTTCTACTTAAACATAGTTCTTAAAATTGTTAACACCTTAGCCTTGAACATCAACTGCCTGCTTGTGAATTAAGATGGTGTTTCATAAAGATGGCACAAGACAGTTTTCCTCAACTTTGTTTTAGATTGTGAGACACTTGAAATAAGTTAAGGGCTGATTGGCTAATATTCCATCCACTTGACTTAAGATTTTAGAGAATTTGTACCCATGGGTCTGTGTTCTGGTGTACCTTGTAAAAGATTATCTTTACCTTTTAAAGAGTAATAGGGGCCAGGTGCAGTGGCTCACGCCTGTGATCCCAGCGCTTTGTGAGACCAAGGCTGGAGTATCGCTTGAGGCCAGAAGTTCAAGACTAACCTGGGCAGCAAAGAGAGACCCTGTCTCTACAAAACTAAAAACAAACAAAAAAGTATCCAGGCAATATCCGCCTGTAGTCCTTGCTACTTGGGAGGCTGAGGCAGAATGCTCACTTGAGTCCAGGAGTCCAAGGCTATAGTGAGCTATGATCACTCTACTAGACTCCAGCTTGGGTGACAGGCGAGACTCTGTCTCAGAAATAAACAAACAAGCAAACAGAAGGTATTAAGATAACAGAAGAATATATTAAAAATATAATTTTTTATTTTGCAAAAAATTTCAAAGCCTATAAAAGGAAAAGGTAGAAAGGTCTTTGTCTTTATATATTTAACTCTGTCCATAACAACCCCTTAATTTTTCCATTTTCGTGATACCATTATCTATATATTTTTTTGGAGGATGAGTCTGCCTCAAGCTTACATAAAGGATCTCCAGCAGTTTTATTAAGCTAAAAAACAAAGTCAGGGATGCAAGGCAGTAGACATTCTTGGGTAGAATTGGTAAAGTCTCAAACTTAAAGGAAACTTAATTTCTCTAGGGCCCTGACTTTTGGGTAATATTTGTAGTTTATGGAACTTGAAAGTGAAATATTGTGTGCCTTGAATGCTTCTTGCCATATAAGAGATCCAGACAAGTGTTCGGGGCTTGTGAAATATTCAAAATTTTCTGCTCTTTAGCTGTTGACTCAATGTGCAATGACTGACTAATAATTAATGCCTGAAATTAACTGCCTAAATACAAAAAAAGGGACATGGTAACTTCATAGCTTTGTGACTTGTGATTATTTGGGAATATATGCTGGAAAACAGTAAGCTGGAAGGAAGAAATGTGAATCGAGAATTTAATTTATCATCTTTTAAAAATTTTTATTTTTGAAGTGTAAATTGACAAGTTATAGTTGTATAGATGGACCCTGACTTCACAGTGGTTCAACTTAAAGTTTTTTGACTTTATGACGCGTTTATTGGGATATTAAGAGCATTTTTGGTTTATAATGTTTTTGGCTTACAATAGGCTTATCAAGTCGTAGCTCCATTGTAAGTTGAGGAGAATCTATATATTTATGGAATGATTTATGATCATAATGTGGAATAATTAAATCAAGTGAATTAATACATTCATCACCTCAAATACTTACCTTTTTTCTTGTGGTGAGAACCTTTGAATTTTACCCACTTAGCAATTTTGAAATGTACTATGCATTACTGTTTATGTTATTTTCAGTTTCCACTTGTGCACTGAGTTTATACTATCTAGGAAGCCAACAGCAGTTCCCTAAAAATGAGACATGCTGCTGTCATACTTATATTGCACTGTAAGTTTTGATTGACTTGTCTACACCACTAAAATCTTACATTGCACTGTAAGTTTTGATTGACTTGTCTTCACTACTGGATTCCCAGGAGTCAAAGAGCATCTCATACTTAAACTCTGTCCTCACTCCCTCTGCCACACTTGGACTTGTCATTGTGCATAAGCTGTCACACTTCTGTGCTCATGTACTGTTCTCTGTCTAGAACATCCTCATAGTACCTAACCTGAGCTAAAGGTGAAGCAAATCTTTTTTTTTTTTTTTTGAGTCAGGTTCTTCCTCTGTCACCCAGGTTGGAATGTAGTGGCATGATCATGGCTCACTGCCACCTTAACCTCCTGGGCTCAGGCAATCTTTCCAGATCAGCCTCCTGCATAGCTGGGACTGCAGGCCTGTGCCACCACGTCCAGCTATTTTTTTTTTCAACTTTTTTTTTTTTATAGAGAAAAGGTCTCTCTATGTTGCCTAGGTTGGTCTTGAACTCTTAGACTCAAGCGATCCTCCTGCCTTGGCCTCCTAAAGTGCTGAGATTACAAGCATGAGCTACTGAGCTATCAGTCAAGGTTAAGTACTTCTAGAAGGTTCAAGTTGGGTCATACCTCTTCTAGAAAACCGCCCTTGACCTACCAGGCTGGGCTAGACTTGCCCTCTGGCTCACATCTGCTTGCTCCAGCATTGCCTCTGCAATGTATCACACTATTCTGTGGGCCACACAATAAACTACGAACTCCTTGCATCAGAGACTATGGACTCCCCACCTGCATAACATCCCTGGTGTCTGCCCCGTGACAAATCCTCCACAGATATGGTCTAATAGAAAAATGATCTATGGGAGTTTGTGCTTGCTGGATATTTTTATCTCAGTATGAGTATTTTTTTTAATAAAGTTTTTATAATTTTGAGGTCAATTTTAAATATCTAAAAATTAAAACTTTGGACTACAGTAGTAAAATATATTAATAGTTTATAATTTATTTATCTACTTTTTAGGTTTTACCTCAATTTTGTTACTGAAGAAGTGGATAACCCTGAAAAGTAAGTAGCCAGATTGACTCTGAAATTTTTATGAAGAATACAATTTAAGATCACATAGTTGAAAACATAGACCCGAGCCGGGCTTGGTGGCTCAGCCTGTAATCCCGCACCTTGGGAGGCTGAGGTGAGTGGATTGCCTGAGCCCGTGGGTTCGAGACCTGCCTGGGCAACTTGGTGAGACCTTATCTCTACGATAAATCAAAAAACTAGCCGGGCATGGTAGTGCGTGCCTGTAGTTCCAGCTACTTGGAAGGCTGAGGTAGAAGGATCGCTGGATCCCAGCAGGTCGAGGTTGCAGTGGCTGGGAGTGGCCACTGTACTCTAGTCTGGGTGACAGTGAGACTCCAATCAAAAAAAAAAAAAAAAAAAAGAAAACATAGACCCGAAAAAGGAATTTAGTGTGGCCTAGTCATTTTCTTAGGTGGTTACAATTTATTTGATTTTTATCATAAATTATATGTGAATAACTTTAATTGTATATTCTAGATTCAATACTCAATTGCCTTGTAACCTGAAAGCAAGAAATAATAAAGTTATTTTAGGCAACCTACCCCACATAAACATATACATGTAACTTGACATGGACTCTTAATTACTCACAGTGTAACTTGAACTCAAAAAGTTTATTATCTCTAATAATTCACGTAACCTTCTTTCATAACTGCCTAAATAAAGTGAGCAATGTCACTCATGGGCAATTCGTTATGAAAGCCTAGAAATGCCTGCAGAATGTTATAGAAACTTGTAAATTTGGGAAGCTGGGTGGTTGTATATACTTTTTCTTTCTAGGTAACAATTTGCTAATAGGATGATTTGATAATGGCACATAATGTTTCTAAAATGGACTAACCTGGAAAAATGAATTGTTCTTATTATTTAATAGGAGAAAAAATTAAGCACTATAGTGTAAAATGTAAACTGAATTATTAAGTTACTTAATTTGTTTCACTTTTATTGGGCATTTGCTCTGCTCCATCCAACCATTCTGCGCTAGGAACAACTTACATCATCAGTTCTCAACCTTTTTGGCGTCAGGGACCAGTTTCATGGATGACAACTTCTCCACAGGTGGAGGGTGGGAGATGGAATCAAGAGAATTCAAGTGCATAACATTTATTGTGTACTTTATTTCTATTATCATTACCACATTGTAATATATAATGAAATAATTATACAACTCACCGTAAAAGAAAGAGATGTGGACGGCAGTGGTACATAAAATAATGGGCAGGCCATGTGCAGACTAAAATCCGATAAGTGTCAGATTCTGACTTAAAGCCTGCTACCAGGTGCAGTTGTACAATTGAAGTATATCAACTCACTTGCCACTTAATGGTAAGGTTTGGCAATGTCTGCAAGCAACTGATTGATTATGGTCTCTGTGAAGTCAAACCTCACTGCTTATGTTCAGCTGTATTGGCAGCCGCTCCCCAGTGCTAGCGTCACTGCCTCAGCTCCACTTCAGGCCATCAGGCTCATAAGGAGCGTGCAGCCTAGATTCCTTGCATGTGCAGTTCGCAGTAGGGTTGGTGTGCTCCTTTGGGAATCAAATCATGGTACTGATCTGACATGAGGCAGAGCTCAGGAGGTGATGCAAGCAATGGAGGCAGCTGTAAATACAGATGAAGCTTCGCTCACTGGCCCACTGCTTTCCTCCTGCTGTGTGGCCCAGTTCCTAACAGTTGCATAAGAGTTGTCTTTAAGCATTTTATTGTCTCGTCCATGAGTCAAATGTTGAAACAAATACATATAACAGTGTGATTGATACCATAGATTTCTAGGAAAAGGAACAAGTACAAAGGCGAATCAGTATGAAATATCCTGGATGTTACAGAATATGCCTAAGGGTTGACGATTCAGATTAAGTTAGACTAAAAAATTCTGGCACCTGGCATCTTAGGAAGAAGTAAATCGATTAGATCTGGCTAAGTACCAGGAATGTCAGAGTTTAAAACACACCGCCAGCAATTTTTTAGATTAAAATGATGTTTTATGGTATCTGATTGTACTGCTAGGCAAGTCAATATGTAATTTAAACATGAGGAAATTTTATTAAGAAATATGACCAATTTATGGCAGCATTGTCATATTTATAACTGGAATTGCAGGTAGAGAACACATATTTACCAAGAACTAGTTATTTCTAGCATTGCTTGGAGATGATAAGCTACCCTATGACAGTAAACTCATTGAATCCAGAGATAACTGTTCAGCCTGTCTTTTTAGTTTTTAAAAATAATTAGTATGTAAGTGACAATATAGAGAAAAGACAGTTCTTACCAGATTCTATATAAATATTTATTGAATTTCCATTATGTAAAAGAAATTACTAGGGTTTGTGGCTGTACCTTTTAAGGGTCAAGACTTTTTGAAAACACCAGTTACTGTAATCTAATATAAGAGAATATTTCTTATAAGAATATGGTAAATTGTAGAGTTGTGGACAGGACCTTTACACTTATTATCTGATGTATCAGTTGTGTATAGTTCGCATTCTCTTTTAATGTTATTTAACTGTTTAAGCATGGTTTTTGTTTGCCATGTATACAATAATGCTCTTTGTATATTAAGCATATTTATGTCATTCTTAACCCAACTTGAATTTCTGACATATTCCACTAGAATAGTATGCCAGTTAACAATTATCAATTATTTTTGTCTCTCTCTTTTTTATCTTGGGGGCCTTAGTTTCTCACACTGATAATGTTCATGATTCAGTGCATACTAAGGAACAATAATGATGATTTATTGATTCAATTGTTTTTCTTATCTGTTCCAAAATTTTTTCTTACTTTAAAAATGGAAATAATAACAGCACATACTTCTTTGGGTTTTATTGATGAATTAAGTGTTTAAATTAGTGACTTTCACTTTTTTTTTCTGAGTCAGAATCTTACTCTGCTGCCCAGGCTGGAGTGCAGTGGCACTCTTCACGACCACTGTAGCCTCAGCCTGCTGGGCTCAGGTGATCCTTCTGCCTCAGCCTCCCAAGTAGCTGGAACCACAGGCACGTGCCACCATGCCTGGCTAATTTTTTGATTTATTGTAGAGATGAAGTCTTGCCAAGTTGCGCCAAGTTGCGATTATAGACGTGAGCCACCAGGTCCAGTCATGACTTTCACTTTTTAATCTCTATATAACTGTTTGGTTGTCATTACTGTTGTTGTTTTGTCCTTTTTTAAAAAGCAAAATAAAATGTTATTCCATTGATAGTACTTTCTAGAATTCAATATCCCAAACAATTATTTTTCTTCAATGCTTTTGAAAGAAATATGCAAAATTATTTTATACCATTTTACAGCATACTCTCTAAGCTTTCAATCCTGAAGTTGAATATGCAGTTGATCACTATTATTCTTTTTGGATATAGAAAATATATTTATAGGGTACATGTGACACTTTGATATATGCATGCAATGTATAATGATCCAATCAGGGTAATTGGGATACTCATTACCTCAAACATTTATTATTTCTTTGTGTTGAAAACATTCTAAATCTTCTATATTTTGAAATATATAATAAATTATTGATAACTATAGTCATTCTGCTATGCTGTTGAGCACAGAACTTATTCTTTTTATCTAACAGTATTTTTGTTCTCAAAAACCAACTTCTCTGAATTACCCTCTCTCCTGTCTTCCCAGCATCATTCTACTCTGTTTTCATGAGACCAGCTTTTTTAGCTCCAACTTATGGGTGAAAACATGCAATATTTGTCTTTCTGTGCCTGGCTTATTTTACTTAACATAATGTCCTCTAGATTCATTCATTCAGGTTGCTGGTAATGACAGGTTTCATTCTTTTTTTATGGCTGAACAGTACTTTGTTTTGTATAGATACCACATTTTCTTTATCTATTCATCCACTGATGACACTTAGGTTGGGTCCATATCTTGGCTATAATAGTGTTGCAGTGAACGTGAGAGTACAAATATCTTTTTGATATACTGATTTTCTTTCTTTTGTATATATGCCCAGCAGTTGAATTGCTGGTTCATATGGCAGTTATATTTTTAGTGTGTTGAGGTATCTCCATACTGTTCTCCATAGTGGCTGTACTAATTTGCATTCCTGTCACAGTGTGTGAGAGTTCTTCTTTCTTTGTGTCCTTGCCAGCCTATGTTAATTTTTTGTCTTTTTGATAATAACCATTTCAACTGGGGTGAGATTATATCTTGTTGTGGTTTTGATTTGCATTTCCTTGATGATTAGTGATGTTGAATTTTTTTTTAATGTCCCTGTTGGCCATCTGTATGTCATCTATGAAAATTTGCCTATTTTTAATTGGACTATTTGATTTTTTTGCTGTTGAGTTGTTTGAATTTCTTATATAGTCTTGTTATTAAATCTTTGTCAGATGAATAGTTTGCAAATATTTTGTGAGTTGGTTCTTTCTGTGCCTTGCAAAAGATTTTTAGTTTTCTATAATTCCATTGGTTGATATTTGTTTTTTGTCACCTATGCTTTTGAGATATCACCCCCCAAAATCCTTTCTCTTATTCTTGGGCAAAGAATTTTTTGAAGTTTTATATTTAGAGAAAACAAACTTGCATTTAAAGGGAAAAGCATAAGATATAAGAGTTTTATAATAATTTAAAAGTAGCTATCAAAACAGACTTAGATTATTGTCACTGGTTATTTAATAAGATATTTTCAATTTCCAAAAATCATAATTCTGCATACTTTGTTAACTATATTTAGAATACTTTTAATTTTAAGTATTATTTTAAGTTCTTAAACTAACAAAACTCTTGAGAGAGATTAAGACTCTCCAGATTTCTAAGTTCAATGTAATGACTAACTCCTAAGATGTACATTAAAGTGATAAACCTTTTTGTTCTTTCAAACGGGGTATGTAGAAATTCAATTTTTACATAGGGGAGTCTGTGTAAAACTTCACCATCACATTTATTTTTAAAAAATTAAAATATGAGAAATCCTCAAAATCCTATTAAAAGTACAATAAAGTTTAATGTTGTTCTATGCATCTACCAACC